AAAAGACAAGACATCCTGGCCATACCCTGTGTGAATTTCTGACCCACAGAATCATGATATATAATAATAAAATATATTTGAATCCATTATGTTTTGGAGTAGTTTTCTACATAGCAATAGATAATCAAAACAAGGAGAGAACAAATCAGACTTGGTCCTTGTCCTGAAAGAACTTACGATTTAGCAATTAGAACAATCCAGAGCTAATACTGTATAAATCCCAGTATGGAGCAAGAAACTGAAATATAGCAACTTCATAGAAACTAGAAGAAACCTATCATTTTGCTCAACCTCTTCACTCTGCACCCTGCTAACAGTGCTGTTATGTACGTAATGCTGTACTAAGTTTGGTCCCAACTCTAGAACTTTTCAACTAAGGGTGGGCATTTACCAGGAGTGGGCAGAAGAGGCTGCCATAACTTCACCCAACAGTATTGCTGCAAATTTTTAAATCTTTAAATTGTTCTTAAAACCCTTCTAAGTGATAAACACAATAGCCAAATGCCTCTCAATGTCCTTCTCATAGAAAGTAAACATTTTGCTCCTACTACAAGTGGGACCTGGACTACCTGAGTCATGACTGGTGATACATGATGCCATCGGTTAAAATCCCCTGCCTCAAGGGAGTGACTGGCCTAAGGTGTGAGGCAGAGTGTATACCAACTATTCACAGGGTATACACAGGTGCCCTGGTGAACTAAGGGTGGAAATATCATTCCATTCATGTGATTTCTAGTTCATGCTCAGTCACCTTTTTTTCTTTTTAAACCAACATAGTAAAAGGCCCCAAATTAAGTAAAATGGTAAGATGAGATTTTTAAAGATCCTCAGGGAAACAGAGAAGAAAGACAAAACCAAACACTTGAGGTCATTCCAAGGAAGGCTATAAAAGCTGTGTAGTCCAGAGGTTACCAACTCTAACTCCAGCCGGGCCAGGCGTGCCATTGAATGGGATGGAAGTGAGCCGGGTGTAAGGGGAGCAGGGAATGGTGACTGGAGAGACATGTCACATCCTATCCAGAGAGGCAGTCACCTATGTCACGGCCATGGGTGCAGAGATGCCGCACTTCGTAAATTTTCTAAGGAAGGAAAACCTTCCAATTTTTATATCAGATCTTCTAATTTCTAAATGCTGGGCCAAACAAAACACATCTGCGGGCTGATGCTAAGCAACCCCTGGTGTAGATGCCTGACATGGATTGATGTGGGGTCAGCCTCTCATGGCTACAAAACGGACAAATGAGTTTGGCCAGACCTTGCTGTTGGCGGTTGCACTAACCCTGGTAGGATTTTGTTTTTTAAATGCACTTCTCCATTAGTGATGGCTAGTGAAATGTCTGGCTTTGCAAATTACTGCTGTCGTTTAGTTTAATGTACTCTTGTTTTTACATATTTATAAAAACCTTTTACATTATTAATAGTGATTAAATGCTTAGACACTGAAGATCAATAATGCTTCTGTTCACCTATTTACATTATTAAAAAGTAATAAGTCATACAGAGCACGTATATAATAGGTGGTTTACTTTGTAGTCATGTTGGAGTAGATCGAAAAGATGAAACTCAGGCTACAGGGTAAAAGATATTGAGGGAAAAAACGGTAACCGAATTGGGCTTGCTAGAGATGCGACTGTGGGCAGGTTACATGTTCACAGTGACATGATGCCATCATGGGGCACGGGAGGTACACATTTCATGTGCTCTCACGTGCCAGTGGAGCAAACTTGAAACAACAAAAGCTAGTCTCACTTGGATGCACAAGGATGAACAGATGTTTAACCTTTACGTGTCCTTGCAACAATTAGTCACCTACGCGCCACTGTCTTGAGCTCCGAAGGCTTCTGATGGTGGCAACATTCAGTGGTGAGTCATCTGTGGGGTCACATTTTGCCAGGAGGCAAATGAGCCCCTTGACAAGGCTTTCTTCATCGGCTTATCCAGCTATCTCTCAATTATGTGGCAGAAGCAAACAAGCAGAGTGGTTTGCCTGATTATGGCACATAAACATTCTAGATCTGTCTGAAGCATGCAACTCCACAGTCAGGGATGTATAAGGGCTGTAAGTCTTTTCAGGGTTAGCCATCCCAGCCTTCCAAAGAGCCAAAGTGGCTTGGCATAGTGGTTTCGAGGTCAAGCTCTCGGCACCGGTCTACTTGGGTTCAAATCCTGGCTCTGACACTCACTGATTGTGAACTTGGGCAAACGACTTACTTAACACCTCAGTTCTTGTTTCCTCACATGGAAAGTAGGCATAATAACAGTGTCCACCACATGGAGTTTGGGTAAGGATTAAATGAGATAGCACATGTAAAAGCTTAGTGTGAAGCCTGACACATAATAATTGCCAAATAACAATTTGCATATAGGAAAGACCCATCTTAGCCGTCATTCAACCGTGTTCTTCTACCAAATAACGTCATGGAAATGTATTAAATGGAACTGGATTTTTAACTTCACTTGTTTTTTTTTTTTCTTGTGGTGACCCCGACATAACTCATCCAGTATAAATTAGATCCAAGCCACCAGGTTTAGTTAAGGACAGGTTGAAATGGGGCAGCTGTGGCATAACAGAAAAGTTATAAGAGCTGCTATGATACAAACTCGGTGGCTGTGTGACGCGGGGCGTTATTTAATCTCTCTGAACCTGTTTCCTCATGCATAAAATGCACTAACACAAAGATGTATAGTTCACGGGGCTACTGTGAGGGTAAAATGAAATAATGCCTGTTCGAGGGCTTTGCAAATGAAAAAGGTACTGTTTCGATGTAACCATTATTATCTATATATGTGAACAGAGTCGGATTTACGTTACCCAGAGTGATATCGCATGGGCTGATCTCTTAGAGGCAATAGAGCTAGACTGCTTGCCCTCAACTCTATCCCTTGGAAAAGACCTGTGCCTTTTCTGACAGATTCGATAGGTCTGTAATAGCTGAGACCACTGGATGAAGGGGACCTGTCGTTCTGAATTCAAATGTGACTTGCAGCGCCAAATGATAACTTGCAGCATTTGACAAAAGGATGAAGACAACTCGGGCAAACCGGGAGAAGGAGGGGGCATTAGCTACGGTAAGGAATAGGTCTGTTCACTCTGCCAGCGCTGGCAAGTGGCTGGAGCCTGAAGCCGAACCACAAGGAAGGAAGTCTCTCTTCACTTTGCAAAGCTTATCGCACCAGTGTCCTGCTCTGGGTCATGACCACTCATGTCCTGCCTCTCTCAGGTCCTGACCGTCTCCCTTGACTTGACTTCAGTGAGTCATTTAACATACCTCTGTGACATGGAGGTTGCTATTTCTTTCACTTTCTTGTTTTGTTTTGGACTCACTTTTCCCTAAGCATGGAGAAAGCTGCAGGGAGGGTGGGGGGAATGGCTGTGTTTTGTTCCTTTTGTTTCTCTGGTGGACAACAAATAAGCCTCCACTACCTAAATAATGACTTTGACTGCAGCCCATCACAAAGTTTCCCCGGAGTTGTTACTGAGGTGGCAGAAACACTTCAGAATGGGGAGGACTAAGTCTCTTGGGAGAAGACAAACTCGATCCCCTGGCAGAACAGGTTTGGGGTTCTGTCAGACACCTAAAAGGTCACCCCCGAACAATAATAAAAACAATGAGGATGCCTTAAGTTTCAGTATCAGTTCTTACATACAATCTGTGGAAGGGATGCTGCTGAATGTTTTAAATTTCCATGCACATCTGGGCTTTTTCGTTTACTACTTTGTGTAGCTCAAGATTGAGTGGTAATTTTCTTAGATTATCATTTGTATTAATATAAACTCTTGACTGAGTTTTCTTCTGGGGACTGATAGCACCCACCACGATGCAACTAAGTGGGCACGGTGTAGACAGGGGCCACTGGACAAATATTTTGCATGTTTCAAATTCCCATTTGTAACAATCTAGAAGGTAGTGAAACGAACACAGGAGGACATTTTTAAGAGACCAGAAATGTTGACTTCAGTGACTCATTTATGTCTAGTGCTAATTAGTAAAACATATCATTGCTGAAGATGAAGCAGAGAATATAGCAATGAGCAAATTCATGTGATTATACTTCAAACAAGTAAGTTAATTTTGAAAAAATTCTTTACCTACTGGGTTGGGCTTTGGTCTCATGTCTTAGTGACAATTCATGCATTTGAGCTTTCTTAGAAGACAGATTTTCACAAGTCTTGTATTTCACATTAAGACGTCAAATTCAGCCAAATCTTTCATATAGAAATGTTTTACATAAAGGAATAAAACTTAACATTTGGCTTTTGAAATTCAGGAGTTTTCAAGGGATACATCCAGAAGCTAAACAATAAATCTGCAAATTATACTTCCATCCTGTTTTTGTCATTAAAAGCCTCATCTGTGCTTTGCTACAAATAATACATACTATACGTGTGTGTGTGTGTGTGTGTGTGTGTGTGTGTGTGTACCGTTGACCCTTGAACAACACAGGGGTTAGGGTTCCCCCATGAAGTTGGAAGATCCACATATAACTTTTGATACCTCAAAAACTTAACCACTAATAGCTCACTGTTGACCAGAAGCCTTACTAAGAACATAAACAACTGATTAATGCATATTTTGTATGTTATACGTATTGTATACTGTATTCTTACAATAAAGTAAGCTAGAGAAAAAATGGTATCAAGAAAATCATAAGGAAAATACATTTGCATTGTTGTACTGTGAAAAAACCCACATATAAGTGGATCCGTGAAATTCAAACCTGTGTTGTTCAAGGGTCAACTGTATACACACACACACACACACACACACACACACACACACATTTATATGTGTATCTTTTACGATAAAGAATCTCAAGAAATGGCTTCTCACTCTTAACCAATCAGTAAGGTCTTGGGCATTCCAGAGATGCCTAAAAAAGGAATTGATACATACTGTGTGGAATGGAAAGTAGCGTGACTTTTAGAAGACCTCTTCCTTTCCCAGTTAAGGAAAACCATGACCACTGTTTATTAAGAAACAAAATAAATACATACATACCTGCTGTCAAATGAGATCTCTGGAGGAATGACATGAGTACTGTCCTTGCCCATGAGGAATTTGATTCGATCATAGAAGAGTCTTGAAGTATGCTGAGAGAAGAGGGGTTGGCTTTGCTGAATGAGGTCAAGAGGATCTGGTGAGCCCTGACAGAGGGGACTTACATAACAGTTGCTTTGTTGACAACAATCAGGGTCCACACAGTCAGTCAAACCATCTGAAAAAAAATATGCTTTTTGAAATTTAGCTTCAAGAGAAACAACACTGTTTAAAATATGCACAGATGGAGAAAAATCTAGAATACAGACAAAGGTAACTGTCCATGTTTTGAGTTTAGGATCTATTAAATTTGCATGTTTCTCATGAAAAATTACTCTGAGTTTAGATGGTACAAACTATTTTGCTCATAAATCTTTCTTCCCTGAATTCTCCAGCATTTATGGGCTGTACTGTACTGTGTACATTTGGATAGAGTCTTCCATTAGGTATCACTCTCTTTAGAAGTTTCCTTCTTCCTCAGCAAGGCCATTCCTCCAGGATAGCAACTATTCTTAGAGTTCTTTTGAATTTCTCACACCATGTGCATTCATGAGCACACAATTAACAAATGCTTGCCAACTTGAATTTGTTTGTGTTTTTTAAAACATCTCCTAATATTCTTGTCTAGTGGTAATTCTCAAAATAGAAGTGGGCATTCTCATAGTGATAATTTGTGTCTGGGGCAGGGCAGTGATTTTCAAATGTGTAGCCAATTATCTTGGGGAGCTTATTAAATATACACATTTTTGAGCCCCACCTATTAAATCAGAATTTCTTCAAGCCCAGGATTATGCATATTTACTGTGAGTGAATCTGAGGCACACTACTGTTTCAGAACCATTTTTTTTTTTTGAATTTGTAGAATCAACTAGTGCTTACTTGTTCCTAACCGCGGTTATTTGATGCAAGTACTAATAAATCTCAGGTATATGAATGTGATGAGTTGCTCTCTTTCATTTTGTAGGCCTTCACTATTTACTCAAGACTCTCGAATCTCTGGTTGTACCAATAAAAAATCACATAAAGGTTGCATTCTTTGGTAGAGGAATTGATGAGGGGCAGAGGGTTACAGGAGGAGGGGAGACCATCTGAGAATCTAATAGGTGCAAAAACACAGTGTTAGATGATTGGGGAAGTAAATAGAGAAAAAGACTCTTTTCCTGTTTTCAGGAGCTCAGAGTTTAGTAGGAGAAACAGGTGTATAAATAGCTGACTCTTACACGAGTTAAAAGTGCAGTAAGTATTCCAAGAGACTACGTGCAAAGAGAAGGGGCTGGAGTGATTAACGGAGCATATGGACACTTCATTCCACCCCCAACAAGCAAAAAAATTAAAGTCCTTCCAAGGTCCTTAAAGCAGACAAGTAGCTCTAATTTAGATGTTTAACAAGGGTAAATATAAAGATGCTAATCTTCCTGGCTGGCAGTGGAACAGGGGGGTTCAGATGGATCACCGGCTCCTTAAGGCTGATGATGAAAGTTGCCAGCGCTGGTTTCACGCAGCTCTTTGGCTTGTTCCCTTCCTGACGTGGGTGCCCCCGTGGAGGCGGACAGGGGTGGACCACAGCTGGGGGCAATGAAAGCCAGGAACACCAAGAGAGTAGACATTTGGAACAGCAGCCCTGGGGCACCCAGGGAATATTTGCCCCCACATGAGGTCGTTTAAAATTCCCTGTACCACAGACACTACTTTGATTTAAAATGCGGTTTGCTGCTTTCTTGCCTTCCCTGGTTGTTCAGTGCATTTTTTTTGCCCTGGTTTCTGCTTCTCTGTAGACATCTTTCTTTTTCACTGATGACTAACTTTTAAGCGTGGATTTGTTGCAGTAAGAAGTCCCCTTCTGCTCTCCTTTCTCCCCTCATTCAGCAAATCATATTAGCAGATTTTCTATAGATTTCAGAGGCCACCGCCACCTCCCTCTCCAATACGTTGTTGTCAGTCTCCTATTAGCACATTATCTCTTTACTCTGCTAATTAAACATCTGGATGCACTGAAAAGCTGGCAAAAACATCAGGCCGATTAAAGGAGTTCTCTGATGTCTGGAATTGGTGCATAATACACGGAACAATGGAAAACTGCTTTTCAAATGGGCAGTCACCTTTATCTTTCAGTCGGTGACGAACGTACTATTAATAATCAGATCGGGCACGCACAGGTTTCAACCTGTCAGTTCCACGATCCAAACTGATTTTTGAAAAGAAATACATTTTAAACAAATAGAAATGTCCAAATGACATTCAAAAGTCAATTCTAAAAACTAAACACAGATCCAATTCAAAACTGGGACTCACATTCTCATCTAGTTATGTGCTATAAATTCCAAGCTAATGCTTCATATTTAATAGTTGCTATTATATAGGGCTGACCCTGTAAGACCTCTGTTTTCTTAGAGAACAGTGAGACTTCTGTTGAATCTAGGAAGGCTGCAGGCAAGCAGACCAATAATGGTATGCAAGCCCCAAATTGTAATTTATAGGTAAGCCCAATACGTGCACAAAGATCTAGTTACCAATTATCACATTTGGATAACACTCCATACAGTATGTCTAGACTGTTACAAAGAAGTGCAAATGACAGTCACACTGCATGTGTGGGTTTCTTTCTTTCTTTCTTTCTTTCTTTCTTTCTTTCTTTCTTTCTTTCTTTTCTTGGACTATTACCGGTTCTATTATTGTTCTGAATTGAAAGCTGTGGCACCCTCCTGACAGCCAGGCTCAGGGTATCAGATATGAACATATCAAATATTAACTGATTTTACTTTTAGGGCCTCTTCATTTTAAAGGACTAAAAAATAAAACCCAGTAAAAAAGAAGGAGGTTAAATTATCTTGAAGGACTAAACATGGCATTCATTGATCTTAGCTTTGCCAGCCAGTTAGTGACTATGCCAGGAGGCCCAACTGGGGCTGATAAAGACCAAGGACAGTGGTTTCTTTTATATATGATCTAGTAATTTACTATAAAGCTTTTACTTACCAGATGTATGCCCATGGATGAAAGAAGGATTGGACAGGGGGATATGAATGATATACCGAAAACCTATCCTTTTCTAATCCTTAAAATGAATTTGTAAATATCCTTTTACGGACAACATCCATATTATCACATTGATAAAAATGGACAGCTAGGTCATGTCAGGGTATCCAAAAGGATTTGGAAGCATGTATAATTAGTTAATATACTAGGTATGGCACTAGGTTCTTCCACATAGATTATTTCAACTGATCCCTACAACAACCCCGTTAGGCAGACATCTCATCTTCATTTACATTTAAGGAGGAGAGGGTAAATGTGATTGCACAGTTGGAGGAAATAGGAGAGTCCTATCAACACGCAGTGTTCTTGCTACACATCACATGTTCAGCAGCAACATCTAAGCAGTATTACTAGCACTGGCCCAGGCTGTAAGGCTTCTAAGCACCTGACTAATGTAGGTATTTAGAACACACGAAGTGGTTAAGGTCCAAGAACCGGACTGTGATTCTAATCTTACTTCGCTGCTTACAATCTAAATGATCCTAGACAAATCAGTTCATCTCTTGGATTCTTAACTTCCTTACCTAGAAGATGGGGATTATAAAAATGCCTACCCCACAGGGCTGTTGTAAGGATCACCTGCTATAATAATCATAAAGAATTTAGCACAGTGTTTGGTATGCAGCTAGCACTCTCGATCAATGTTAGCTCTTGCCATTAACCAAGTTCTACCCTGCACAGACTGCAAAGAGTCTAAGGATAGAGTCCCGGGGGTAGATGCCAATGGTGTGCAGTGGCAGCTAAAAACGTTCAGACCCACTTCTACTGAAGGTGCCTTATCACTGGCCAGAGGGCAATTAACTTCTGTGCCGCATATTCAGTTCGCTGGAATGTGTTCATTTTGTGCACTCTGCATGGTTAGGTTGTCAGATGGGTAGAATCCTGTGTGGCTCTAAATAGACACTAATGCTACAGTAAATCTTTATTCATTGAATTTCACAAATTCACAATTTGTTATCATTTGGACAGGGGCTGGATTGAAGCTTAACCTTTTCAGCATCTATAGAACAGAGGGTCTGCCAAGCAAATGAATAGTCAAAAAGAAATTGACGGGCTGATCATTCCCATGACTCAGTTAAATAAAATCTTCTCAGGCATTTTAGAAACCCATAAAAATGGACTAATTATAAATCATTCATAAATTTTTACTCAAGCAGGCCCCCCTACTAGGCACTGCCATTAGCTTAGCTGTTGCTGTTATATGCGTGGAAGGTAATAGGACTGTATTTCCTTTGGAAATAGACTATAATTCATTTGATCTTTCACTTACTCAGGCTGACTTTCACCTCCAGCATTTTGCTGTATTAGTAAGAAGAAAATGGGAGAGGCTCAAGTGCACTCAGGATTTGACCTGATCCAATCACTGTTATTGCAATCACCTCATACAATTGACTTTTCCTGGGTCATGAAAGTAAATTGTTTATATGCCACTAATGTTCGTGTCCTCTGGTCCCCACCTGCCATCACTGGGGCTTCTCACATCACTCAGAGTAGAAGCCCATGTCCTGACAATGACTTAACTTCCCCCCCAGTCTGGCTCTTCACAGTCTCTCTCTTACCTCTCTGACCTTACCTCCTATTATCCCATGACCTTCCAAGAAGCTTGGAAAACATGTGACCTTCCCCATTATTCCTTTGCCTGGAATGTTCTTTACTCCAGTATCCACATGGCTCACCCCTCACTTCCTTTAAGCCCGAATGCCACCTTTTCAGGGAGGCTTTCATTTTCCACCTTATTTAAAATTCCACCCCTGTGCCACATCCTATCCTTTTCTCTGCTTTTTAAAAAATGTCTCCGTCACACTTACCATCTTCTAGCATACTATTTCTTTTAAAATTTCTTTTAAAATTTTGGTTTATTGTCTGCCTCTCACGACTAGAATCTAAGCTCCCCGGAAGCAACGATTTAGTCTTTTTTATTCACTATTTCTTCACTCGAACAGTGAATGCCGTTCAAAGTAAGCATTCAGTGAGTGTGTGTTGAATGAATACATGCATGTCCTGAAAGTCCTATTTCTATGACATTTGTAAATCTACCTAAAGATTAATAAACATTCAACTAATGCATCAAAAAACACAATTTATAAATAGATTCTTCATTGATACCACACTTTTATTACCCACTTTAAATTAATGGATTTC